ATGTATGTGTATGTGTATATAATGTATGTGTATACATAGATATTAATAGGGATGCACCAATACCGTTTTTTCGGTATGCAGTACCAATATTTTTCTTTCGGTATTTGCGGATACTGATACCGGAAGTCCCATTGAGGAAGCTGGCCGGTGAGTCATTAAACACTGTCCGGCTTTCTGATTGGCCAGTAAGGCCGGCACCATGCTCTCTAGTCACCAATTGACGAGGGAGCAAGGAGCCAGCTTCCTGGCCAATCAGGAGGCCGGGCAGCGTCACCGCCTGACTTCCTGATGGCAGAAGTTCTTGTATCGGAGCACTAGTACTCGCCCAAATACTCTGTATCGGCACGTATACTAGTATTGGTATCGGTGCCTCCCTAGTTCTGTTCTGTGTGATTGACACTCATTTCCCTGCGTATACTCCTTTTCCTCATCTCCAGTGTACACTTTGTGTGTATTCCTACATGGGGGGTACCGTGCCTTTTAGCACAACACTGTGGCATGAACCGACCATAAAGTAACCCCGTAGTTACTGATCTGAGCATATAATAAACAAATGCGTTAATGAAGGTTGACTTCAGTGAAAAATACACGGCAGAACGATCAGTAGATCCAGAGATTTAAGTCGTGTATACTCGTGTCTATTCTACCCGCGGGCCGAACGAAAAAATAGAACCGATTCCTCGTAAGCGTCACTGGGCGAATGCCTGGTCCCCACCGGCCGATGTTCAAATACCCGATGGGAGATAGTAGCTGAGTGGCTTAGAATTTTCCAGCCTGCTTCTTCGATCAGCTGATTGAGGGATGCCGGGCAGAAGGGTGCCGATAGTTTCCTGGTGCCAGTTTATAAGCAACCGGCTGAATGAGTTAAGACAGCTCCATTGAATAGCATTGGCCGGCGACTTCTCGCGATATCGCGCGGCAAAAATCGCGCGATAAGTCGCTACATGTAAACAGGGCCTTAGTTCTGCCCGTTTTGTCGAAGGAGCGAGCCCAAAAAATCTCGGCCGAACACTGTCAGATATTCCTGCCGCTGTCCCACACACCCATCGCCAACAGTAGGGCAGCTTTACTTTAATACAATGCTTCTGGAAGACTCTGCAATCCTAGAAGTTTGATTTCTATACACTGTACCGTGCTCATGTTCTTGCAGCTTTCCCTCTTTTGTCCTCTGCACAGTGTTTGGACCCTCTGGCTTTCTAGAAATTCACTTTGTTCTGTGCCTGCCCATTGTCCCTCCTGGCAGGCCTGGATTTGAGGGGGGGGGTGGGGGTGTGTGAGCAGAGGGGCGCCTCTTCCTATTGTCAAGAGCCTGGTGATATGGGGGGACCCCTTGCTGGGATTTTGTAGTGGGCACACAAAAGGTTTCTTTCAGTGTCCCTTATGAGACTAATGACTCTCTCCAGCCTGTAAACTCTGGGCAATCGTGAAGCTGGCTTTGTCATGTTAATTCATGGAATTAAGACCTTTGTCTCCGTGTCTCACAGCACAGATGCTGCTGCAGCCGTGATATATGCCGGAGGTTCTTTATAACCTGCAGCCATTGTGCAGTAGGCTGAGGCGGCCTTTCCAAGGGCTGAGTCTTCCATAATCGGAGTATGTAAATCGCATTTCAGATTCTTTGGAAGATATGCAACCTGCTTTAGATGTTATTGTTGCTGCTGCTTTTTAATGTATTGTATCATCTCTGCCATACCACTCGGCTCTCTTCTCTCTGCACTGGATTGTGTCTACCTCAGCGCAACACGGACAAGGAAATCTACTTACATTTTTCACCATTCTTTAGGCTTTTTTTGCAGGCGTATCTGCGTGGATGTTTGTGGCGGGCGCCTTGGGCTCTTTGTGGCATGCGCCTTGGGCTCTTTGTGGCATGCGCCTTGGGCCCTTTGTGGCATACGCCTTGGGCCCTTTGTGGCATGCGCCTTGGGCCCTTTGTGGCATGCGCTCGGCTCTGAGTACTTTGGGATTATCGTCTTTAGAATCCCTGTGGTAGCAGCCTGGTAAATTGCAGATCAGGACTCTGTGTCCCCAGATCGACTCAGGCTGAAGGTAGAGGACACCTCAGGGCTGCAATATCGTTTAATAAAAGAGAACCAGCCAATGACCCTTGACCCACACCAGGACGTGTACAAAAACACATATTGGTTTTCCTTATGTACACTACAGGTAGAACTAGGATCATATTTAGGTTTAAAGCCGATTTAAAACTTATTTTTGTCATTTTGCATAGAGCCGGGAAGGGTTTAAGCCTCGGTCATGTCTCTATTCCTGTCTGGGTGTCCGATGGGGACCTTCACCATCCTTATTTAGCAACGGGGAGCTTCACCAACCCTCTTTATCCTGATGACCATTGTCACCGTGGCTGAAAATAAGGAACCAATCTAAAACGTTAAGGTTGCCGGGTCAGGAAATGAAGGGGAAATATCTGAAAGGAAATGCTTCTGGTGACAACTGAGGGTGTCCATTCCGCTACCAAGAGATTTCCTCGCTTCCTGACGTGTCTCCAGACAGCAACAAGTCTTTTTAGAGGTTTCATCCATTTTCTACATTATCCAAAACTAAAAAAAGAAACTTTTGTCTTTGGATATACTTCACTTCTTGATGGATGAGCTCTACGTTTCTACTGCATCCCCTGCTTCCAAATCCTTTAACACGGAAAGTTCATAAAGCGGAACTACACTCTCCTTCCCTTGCTCACTCGCCAGCGCCGACACATTCACCCGGGCCGTCTTCCATTTCCGTATCTTCAGTTGTCTTAAATGGCCATAGCGATGGAACTCCTGTGCATGAGAAGTTCATTTGGCCCGGTGCCAATAATGTACACTGAGCAGCACAAGAAGATTGTAAACAGGCAGTCGTGTTCTATTACAGAACTGGAATTGTAATAAAGAGCTTAGTTCTGCCTTACATTCTTATCTAAGTCCACAGTCTCCTAGTAAAGTATAAATAGCAAAGGAGAGGGCAAGAAACTCGTTTTGCAGACTTCAGTGGACTTGCTTACTTATCCACGTACCTATGCCAACATCCTGCACCCTAAAACACTTTATTTGCCCATGAAAGAAATAAAATGCCATGAAAATTAAAATCGGTACCGCACGTTATCCCCGAACTGTCATTAACACAATACCTTCCCTCAGATGTATCTACCCACATGTTACTATACCTAATACTGAGGGTCTATAGCAGGGATGGCCAAACTCCGGCCCTCCAGCTGTGGTGAAACTACAAATCCCATGAAGCATGTCTATCCGGGAGTCATGTTTGTGGCTGTGAGAATCTTGCAAAGCCTCATGGGATTTGTAGTTCCACCTCAGATGGAGGGCCGCAGTTTGGCCATCCCTGGTCTATAGCGTTTAGTGGAGCCCTCGTAGTGCTATATGGGGAACATCAATAGTATGAAACGATAAGCTTCGCATTGGTTGACTCCCACTTTCCATTTGCAGATGGTACCTGATGATAGAATTCTACAATGTGCCTTTTTAGTTTTACCTTTTTCTTTTATTATTTATAATGCTATAATATGAGATAAAGGATAAGGGGGAATGTCACTCAAGCCAAAGCTTTTTTTTTTTAGCATACATTGAGAAAGAGTTGGAATCCCAGGTTTTGTTCCTGTTTAAAAGTGGAACTGAGCTTAAAAAAGGGAAATTGTTTTGTTTTTTTAATGAAGATTTTGAAAATGTATTTGGGCCAAGTAAAACTCTGAAAATCTACCTTTTTAGTCTGGAATTCCTCCTGAAAAATAATAGTGCACATCCTAGTAGGTGAGTGTGCCCAGGCCCTCCTGTGCCTACAGTCTCAGTGCTGTATATCTGCAGAATGGGAGCTAAGGCGCCGCTGCCTCTGGCTTGCTAGTTATTCATGTCACCAATGTGCTGCTTACTGTTCTTCGTTCTGGTGGCTAGGACATGAAGCACAGTGCTGCCCCTACCAAGATGGCTGCCCCCAGTATAGAACAAGGCATTGCAAACCAATAATGGGGATAGATCAGCTCCGGTTAGACCACTAGTCCTTTTTTCCCTCTGCCTGCCTTGTTTTAGGCACAGCTCTTAAAGGGGTGCAGAATTCCTATTGCCTGATGCCCAGGACATGCAGTTCCCGGTTCATGCAGTTCTGGTGCAGACTGGTGTTTTTTGTTTCTATGTTTAGCCCTGCTTCGGCAAGCAGGGCTAAATGTAGAGCAGGTGAAGGCGCCATTATGTACTTGTATAGCAGGCTGTTTGACTGTGTGCCATATTGTGGTAGTGGGGCAGCAGCACTCTCTAACACGCACAATGTGCATTAAAGGGTAAGTTCACTTTCCCAAGTAATTTGGGAAAATGGAATTACCCGCTTAAATCTGGCCCCCTCTCCCCTACCCTGCTTACCTTTTGGTGAACGGTCCTTCCCCTCCGCCAGTACGGGTGTACCCCATACTGCTGTCCAGCGCAGCACTGCGCTATGGATTTTGACATAAGCTCGCAAATTGCAAGCACTCATTGGTCAGTGTGGTCAGGTGACTGTGCTAACCAATGACAAGCACTTCTTAGCACGGTTAAAATTATTTTTTTGTATCATGACAAGTAGATTATCTTGAGGGACACGTAGATTGAGCCCGCTTTAGTTCTTGGACAAGTAGTATTTAAAAAAAAAAAATTCCACACCACTGCTTTTGAGTTCACTTCCTTTTTTAGGCCTCAACCCTGGAAGTGAGGAATAATCTGCAACAGACATACAGATCGCTATCCGAGCTTCTAGTCATCTTCTATTCTAATGTATTGTTGTCTTTGTCTCTGGAGATCTCCCCTTCTGAAAGAAACAGTCACCTGGACAGGAAGTAATGGGGACATCTACCCAACTGAGCCCAGACCCCAGTACAACGGACCAGAGGTTCTGCCAAAACAGGGGGAACAGAATTCTACTATATATATATATATATATATAATTTCTAAACAATGTCTTTTTCACTTTGTATTAATCTGCTGTTTTTTTTTCTTTCCCCGCTCTGCTTTTCCACCCAACAGAGAATGTCTGCGTGTTTAAGTGTACGATCAACTCGGACACGGAATGCAGCCGCGTCGGCAAACAGTCCTTTATCGTCACTCTGGGTTGTAACAGTGTCCTGGTCCAGTTCGCCACACCAGCAGGTATGTCCCTTCTCTTCTAATGGATGTGAGCTGCCGTGGTGGGGGGGCGAATGTTCTGAGTACTTAAAGGAGAACTATGAGGTGAGTGCTTTTCACTCACCTCATAGTTCTAGCCGACCTGTGACAATGAGACTGTCACAGGTCGGCTCAGTAGATCAGGAGGTGAGCGAACCCATGCCGATGTTTGCTCGCTTCTCGATCCTGTCACGGCTCTCTGCCGTGACAGGGGAGGGGATGGATTCCCCCCGCTTCGATCCTCCAGCGCTGACTGGCGGAACGGACGGGGAAGGGGGTGGGTACTGCTGGCTCCGCCTCTAGATAGGCAGAGCCAGCTTTCACTCACGCAGCTGGGCGGATCCAGGCACAATTGTCGGGATCCGCTCCGGCTGCGGCGTCTCAGTATACCGCGAGCTGTAGCTCGCGGTATACTGAGCTTAGGGTGACGGGAGGATGCTAGTTTGTGTCCTCCCATTACCCTTAGGAGAACTATGGTGAAAAGCCCTGACCCCATAGTTCTCCTTTTAAGATCCAAGACACTATGAAAACAAAAAAATCTATGTCTAAACCAAACCTGTGCTTGGAGAGAATGTCGGCTGCCATGGTCCTTTCTTTCTGAGAAGACCAGTTGCTTGGCTGCCAACCGTTATCTAGGACAAGTATGAAGTTCATTCCTGTTTGGCTGTATGCTTGCTCTGGGTCAGCAACCCCAAAGTAATGAAATCCGAGAGAGCACAGCAACTTGCATTTTCAGGAGGGGATCCATAAGTCTTAAATCTGCCATAGATGATAAAAACACTCCAAAACAATGTCATATTCTACAAAAGCCATTTTATATCCTTAAATATACCCGGTAACTTTGCCCGATAAGGTGTCTGTATATAGCTCATCCCTTTTTATCTGACGAGCCGCACTCCCTCACCACCTCCCCGCTGCAGCATCCCAGCCTGCCTAAGCTCGGGTGACGTCACAGCCCCCCCACTAGAATGTTCGGACCCGGTGATTGATCACTCTGACCTGAGCACTGTCACATGGGGGAAATGAAGTGCTCCCTCCTATAAGTGGCATCTCTAGTAGTCTGGGTAGGGAGTGTGGCTCTAATTATTACTGCCTGGGGCAATGGGCTCGTTCAGAGCAAAGTGTCTATTTAAATACAAACTAGTACAAAACAAGAGGGTTTTGTTTTATGTTACAGGACATCACTTTACCTCCCTCAGAACCACATACCTTTGGACATCGTGTATTAGATCTGAATATATCAGCATACCTTAGATTGTAAGCTCCTTGAGGGTAGGGACTGATGTGAATGTGCAGCTATGTAAAGTGCTGCGTAAATTGTCGGCGCTATATAAATACCTGTAATAATAGCTGCCTCCACAGTGTATAGGTGACTTTCTTACGAGCACACCTCCCTCTCCCCCTTTATAGAAGACACTAAAATGCACCATTCATGGTTTTATTTTTGGATCAAGACCGTAACTATTGTCTGCGAAAGAATGCTTGTTTACGTTGTCATTGGCTTCAGGTGATGTGATTTATCTATAACCCTGTACTTTCTCTGCAGATTTCTGCTCCTTTTACAATATTATCAAGGGTTGCAGGAGTTCATCTGCAGACAAGAGTGTGTTCAGCGAGCGGACAGAGGAGTCATCTGCTGTGCAGTACTTCCAGGTACTAATCTGTCATCACAGAAGGCCTTCCCCATAGAAGTGATGGTGCAACTGCAGCCAAAATGTTTTAGTTGAATTTAGTTTAGGGAAGAGTTGGAAACATTTTCAAGCTTTAGGCCTCATTCACGCGTATCGGGCAGCTCCCAGGAAGGACAGGTGCTGTGTGCGATTAGTACGCAGCGCCTGTCCTTTTCCATGGGAGTAGGCGGCCCTACGCTCACCCGCCCTGCACGTCCGTGCGGGTGTCCGTACTCATATGCTGACAGGATGGATACTGTGTGCGTCCGAGCCGGGACACCCGTACGGACCTGCACTTGGGGTGAGCGTACGGCGGCGTACTGCCATAGAAAAGGACAGGGGCTGCATACTAATCGCACACAGCACCTGTTCTTCCTGGGAGCAGCCCGATACGGGCGGCTTTTCCTCCTGTGAATGAGGCTTTACAGTCATCAGTTAATCTTTCCTAGGTGGGTAACGTTCTGGTTTACAGCAGAACTTTACCCACCAATTTGATGTCTCCCGGAACAGTTTCTTTCAAGGCACGCAAACCGTCAAAGTTCCCAGTGTGCTTATTTCGGCTCTCAACCGAACTTTCAAGCCCTCAAATGGCGGGTGTCATAGCCAATCACATTTGAAGCAGGATGGCAACTGCAATTCAATTAGAGGCCAAGATGGCGCCTTCTTGGCTGTGAGGGGTAGGAGGGTGTAATTCTGCTTTAACTTGGACAGAATTTGAGTCCTTTTGTGTGTCCTGGAACTGGTTCTTTCCACACTCTTACCTTAGAAACAGTGCAAGTCTTGTCAGATGCATTCTAATATGTTAACAGCTCTTGTAAATTATTAGAAAGTATTTGTTGTTTTGTTTGTTGGATTTCTGTAGCTTTATATTTGGAGTTTTATTTTTTTCCTCCCAGTTTTATGGCTACCTGTCACAGCAACAGAACATGATGCAGGACTATGTGAGGACTGGCACCTACCAGCGAGCCATCCTACAGAACCATACAGACTTCAAAGATAAGGTAAATGTAGAAGCAGCTCGTAGCCCATGCTGTGGATAGTATCAGGAAATATTTTAATACCGAGTCCTATCTTTTCTTTCTGTAGGTGGTTTTAGACGTTGGCTGTGGCTCAGGGATCCTGTCCTTCTTTGCAGTTCAGGCTGGAGCTCGCAAGGTTTATGCTGTGGAAGCGAGCACCATGGCACAGCATGCAGAGGTGAGTAGTCATGGCACAGGCCCGGCCACACACGTTACAATCTGATTATACAGGTTCCTTTGGCGATAACTTTGCATCTGTTTATGCTCTGAATGGTTTTTAGGGAGGGCCCTTGATTGGCATCACTGTAAGTAAATCTAAAGGAGGTTTTGCAGGCAAGTGTGATGGATGGGTGTGTGTGACCGCAACCTATTATGGAGCAAGAGTGGAAGATCTTGTTAGGGAGGGGACATTTTCTGGTGATGACACATGTCAGAAGTGGGGAGATTGCCTTTTTTGATTCTATGAACCGGATGTACAGGGAACTTTCCCAGATGAGGACACAGGCAGCAATAAAAGCCTAACTTTAAAGTTGTAATGTATCTAAAATATAAATATGCTCTGGGCCAACAACATTTGCTCCAGCCTCTTTCCACCTCCGCTGCAGCGATGTTGTGTCCTCACGTCCAGTACACTGTATTGGACATAATGACTTGAGGATCCTTAGACCACTGCAGCGGAGGGGAGAGAGACGCTGGAAGGACCGGTCTAACAGCAAGCTGTTTTTTGAGGATTGGGTGAGTATAACTTTTTTTTTTTTTTCAGCCCTTGTCACAAACGAGCAGTTAACCCTTGCAGTGTGCGGGCGCCCCACTGCAAAGGTTTAAGATTTTATTTGCAGAGTTCTGTAAATTTTTGTAAATTTAAAATGTATCAGTCCATGTTGCAGAGGTTTCACCTTCCAGAATGTGATGGTAAATCTCTCCAATAGTAGTTGCGAGTCACTGATATGGAACAAGTGTGCAGATGAGCAGTTCTTATTTTCCCGATCTGCAATCTTGTTTGGTGATGTCAATGACTTGGGTGGTTATCATTCAAGGACAGGACTCCCGAACACATGTGATGAAATGCCCGCATTGCTCACATCTGTAAAACGCGTGCTGCTTTTTGGCAAGTTAGAATATGAAAGCAGTCTTGTTTTGTCCACTACCACTGAGCTGATGTTTCGTGTTCCTTCTGTAGCTTTTGGTGAAGAGTAACAATCTAACCGACCGCATTGTGGTGATCCCAGGCAAAGTGGAGGAAGTGTCTCTCCCTGAACAGGTGGATATGATCATCTCTGAGCCTATGGGATACATGCTGTTCAATGAGAGAATGTTGGAGAGTTACCTGCATGCAAAGAAGTTTCTCAAACCCAACGGTAAGGCATAAAAGTGTTTGTTTTTCTGGGTCCTCCAGTAACTTTGTTTTGTTACCCTTTGATCCGGCCGGTAGATTCGTTTTTTATTAATTGTAACAGGCCAAGGAGTTCAACATAAGGGGCAGTTACATTTACAGGAAGTCTCTGTCTCTGCTCGTAAATGGTCAGAGCTGCTGTCAATCAACCAGCAGAGGGCATTGGCTGCAGGGTATTGGATAAAAGCACACGGAGACCTCTCTTTTGCAGAATTAAGAGCTGGTGGTCACCCTAGTAAAAAAATAAAGAGAGCAGCAGGATCAACAGGTAGTAATGAAACCTTTACTCGTACAGATATAGAACTCTTGCCACAGATACTTCCACAAAGCAAAAATGGAGCCATTCATCCAACTTTAGTATTTGGGTTCATATGCACTTTAGTTCAAATGTTAAAGAGGAAATTGTTAGAGGAGGTGGAAATTCAGCTGCAAAGGTCTTAGTACTGAGTTCTGAGAGTGACTAGGAGCAGCCAGAGATGGGCACCAGCTTCCTGCAAGTAAATGTTTCAGTGCATTGCTGTCCCCCTCAACTTGAATTATGAGTATGTAGAGGAATTTAGCTTTCGAATGCATTTCCAGCCTGACATTTTAATGTCTCTCTTCTTCAGGTAACATGTTTCCGACTATTGGAGACGTTCACCTAGCACCGTTCACAGATGAGCAGCTTTACATGGAACAGTTTACAAAAGCCAACTTCTGGTGAGTTCTTATGAGATAGTCTAAGGATTGGTTAATTCCTTAGGGTTGGGCTTCTGGTTATGGAGGAGCAAGAGACAGCGCTGGAGCCTGAGTGACCGATCTGCCCAGAGCACTGTGAAGATCCGGGGGGGGGGGGAGATCCG